GAGAAAATTCTTCCTAATATCGAACCTAAACTTCCCTTGCTGCTACTTGAGACCACTGCTCCTTGTTCTGTCATCTGCCACTACTGAGAACAGTCCAGAGCTCCATCCACTTTCGAACCCCCCTTCAGGTAGCTGAAGGCTGCTATTAAGTCCCCTCTCAGTCTTCTCTTCCCCATATTTAGACTCCCCCTGGGTCTAAATAGACCCAGTTGCCTCAGCATCTCCTCGTAAGTCATGTCCCCCAGCTCCCCATTTTTGTTGCCCTCTACTGGACTCTCCCCAACCGGTCCACGTCCTTTCTGTAGTGGGGGGCCCAAAACTGCACAAAGTACTACACATGGGGCCTCACCAGTGCTAAACAGAGGGGAATAATCACTTTCCTGCACCTACTGCAAACACACCTACCAATGCAGCCCAGTATGCCATTAGCCTTCTTGGCAAAAAGGGCACACTGCTGGCTCATATTCAGCTTATTGTCCACTGTAACCTCCAGGCCCTTTTCTGCAGAGCTGCTGCCCAGCCAATCAGCCCCCAGCCTGTACCAGTGCACGGGGTTGTTCCAGCCTAAGTGCAGGACTTTGCACTTGTCCTTGTTGAACCTCATGAGATTCCTTTTGACTCAATCCTCCAATTTCTTTAGGTCTCTCTGAATCCTAGTCCTACCCTCCAGCATATCTAATACTCTGCCCAGCTTAGTGTCAATCTGCAAACTTGTTGAGGGTGCACTCTATATGCCATCTTCCAGGTCACTGATGAAGACATTGAACAAAGCCGGCCCCAGAACCAACCCCTGGGGCACTCCACTTGATACCGGCTGCCAACTAGACATCAAGCCATTGATTAGCCCCCTCTGAGCCCCATGCTCCAGCCAGTTTTCTATCCACCTAACAGTCCATTCATCCAGCCTGTACTTCCTTAGCTTGCCTGGGAGAACGTTGTGGGAGAAGTTTTGCAGTAGAGGGCAGTACAGCATGTGCAGTAGAGGACAACAAAACTGCGTGCAATTTTGGGCGCAGCACTAAAAGAGGGATGTGGATAACCTAGAGAGGGTCCAGAGAAGGGCCACTCCTATGGTTAAGGGCTTGCAGGCCAAGCCCTATGAGGAGAGACTGGGGCACCTGGACCTCTTCAGCCTCCATAACAGAAGGTTGAGAGGCAACCTTGTGGCTGCCTATAAGTTCATCACGGGGGCACAGAAGGGAATCGGTGAGGGTTTATTCACCAAGGTGCCCC